TCCCAGCATGCTATGGCATTGTCCAGGTGCCCACCGGACCATGGTTCTGTCGGAAGTGTGAGTCACAGGAGAGAGCGGCGCGCGTGGTGAGTATGCCAACACACGACATGACAAAACACATCCAGCTATTCCTGCTTCAGCCGTCACAATCCATGCCAACTCAGAAACAAGCTCTGCTCGTCCCGACTCTACCCTCTCTTTCCCGCCGTCCGCCCCAAGGGACGGTGTGAGCTGTGTCCACACAAAGATGGTGCCCTCAAACGAGGACGGACAGCGGAGTAAATCTCAATCCTCTGTCCATCCTCACTCCCGCTCTGCCGTGTCCCCCCCTCCCACTCACCCTCCCACCCACCCAACCAAAGTAACCCAGCAAATGTGGGAATCAGCAGGGCAGCCTCCCTCCCTGAAATAGCATAGAAGCTGCAGTTTCCTCTTCATTCACAAGGATCCTTATAATGCCATTGATCCACTGCCAATCTCTCCGTCAGGCTGGGCCCACGTTGTGTGTGCGCTCTACATCCCTGAGGTGCAGTTTGCCAACGTCCTCACCATGGAGCCCATCATCCTGCAGTACGTCCCGCATGAGAGATACATCAAGGTACTGACACACACACTGTTGACTGGATAAAACCTGTAATGCGTTGTGAACCCATTTTCCTCCTGGTGTGGCAGAAGCATGCATGAATTATATCTTTTATTAGAGATGATTAGGCAACCGGGGGATTTTTTTTTTTTTTCAGCCAATACNNAATTACCTGCTTCTCATGGCCGATACTGATAAGATAACCATTCATTTCACATTTTTGTATTTTACAATGCACACCTGAGGGTAAGGAAGCCTAACACCCTGGACACGCTGCAGTGTCCAGAGAGCATTTCTACTGCAGTGCCGGTGCTCCTTTCTACAATGAGTGTTTGATAAATACAGTAAAAGCCTTGTTAACAAATGAATGGATTCTGTCCACAGAAATATCAGAAAGCTTTGAAAAAAAGAAAATTATACTTTTTACATGTCTGTGACATATTCTACAGATACACACATTGGAAGGTATTAAAGGTGTATATGTTGCTGGTAAAATGTCGATGTGACTATGAACCAGACTTGTTAGAGTTTTGTATTTTGTTTTTAATTTTTGTTTTCAATTTAGTTTAGTCTTAATTTAGATTTTATTAGATGTTTAAGTGTTTAGTTTTTTTAATAATAATAATTAAATATGGGTGGTATTGGTCAGAATAGGTATTAACAATATAAACACATTGACTCACAGTCATGTAGACATCCCAGTCTCAATAAACTCGATCTCAATACGCATGCTTGTTGTGTTGACAAATTTGACCAAATTGACAGAGTAAAACTACATTTTCATTTTATTTGAGTTAGTTTTATAAGTACACACTATTGTTTCAGTTCCTTTTAATTTTTTTTATTTTTTTATTTAATTTAATTTTATTTAATTTATTTTTTACACCTAGTTTTAGGTTTTGGTTTAGTTAACTGCAGTAATTTTGCGGTGAACAGATGCTTTTAACTTTTTTTGTTGGAAACTGCACTTGGCTCACGGAAAAAATAGGTGAGACCTTGAGTCTCACACCCGAAATGCACGGCTCATACGGGCAGCAGACGGGTGATTTAATATTCCACAGCTTTGACTTAACCAAATCTAACTGACATCACTATTGTTGAAACATCAAAAGCAAACTGACTCTTCAAATGTTCCTTTATTTTTACATCAATAAACTTCACAAACATACTCTTCCTTTCACAGAACATAAAGCCTGTCAAACATTTGCATAAGAATTCAAAATAAATTATTATGGACCAATAATTTATCAGCTTTAATTTCATTGTTGTAATAATATATAATAATAGATGAGATAAGATACATTTTCCCATTATTTACAGTTAATCTGTCTGCAGCGATATATATTGCACATTCCTTACAGACATCAGTGCTTTCCAACCAATTGATGTCTGTAGTTTGTCACATAAAGTTTTTTTTCATAGATGTTCTTGTACAGTTGTTTGTGTTTAGACAACATGGAAGTCTTATGAGTTGAATAAAAGTCATTTTTCTAGGGAACACATGTTGAGGTTCAGTTATTGGAAAAATGTTTAGTTTTTCATATCTGCACTCAAACTCGGCTGTTATAATGGCACTATATTTAAAAGCCCCTCTGGACAATTAATTTCAGAGCAATTCCAATAAACCTTTGTAGCAGTAAATTCTGTGAGTTTTCAGAGGAGAAACCACACTTTTTCCATCAGCGTCAACAATCCCACAGAGAGAAATCCATTATCAGAGATAAAGATAAATTCTCCCCCAATAGTAGTTTCAACAAACTATGACACAATGCAGCTTGAAGTCATGTGGGAAACAGCACAACTCTTGTTTTACCCTTAACGGGTAAAGCATTTTTGCTGTACATCACCATCGCTTTCTCCACCTACACATACCGTACAAACCCAGGGCTGAGTGTGGCAAGGTCACGCCTGCTCTCTGGAGGTTGTTGAAAGTCATTCTGGGAAATGTGGGAGATTTCCAGCTGAAGTAGAAATAGAAGAGGCAGGTCGAGGGAACAACAAAGAAGTACATTTACCACAGTTTATCATAATATATACATTGAAATGTACAGAATTGTGTCAGAAGTCAGTTATGCTAAAAATGCCAAACATTCACCGGATTCCAGCTTCTTCACTTAAGAGGCTGGTTCCTTTGTGGTTTTTATACAATTAGGAACGGATCTCTTTGGGTTATGGGCTGTTGTTCAGACAAAAAAATGACTTGAAGATGTCACCTTGGGAACTTATTTATGACATTCTGCAGATAAAAGGAATGAATAATTGTTAGTATGTAGTACCAAGCGTCACAAATTGATGATATACATTAATTCAAGTCTGTCCTTCATGTAATCTCAATGTATAATCAGTTAACACGGGTTAATGACATGTTTACATAATGTTTCATGCTGCATACTGACTGATGAAATACAAAGATAATGGGACCTCACACAGAGTCCTAACAGGCTGAGTAAGACCACCTATGGAAAACAGACTGAACATATCCTTCATCGTACACACAGTCAAGCTCAGACCCTCAGAAATGCTTCTGAAATATTCTGCTAATGTCTGCTTTTATCACTTTGTAAAACAAACTGTTTTAACCACAGACTAGTTTCAGGCCGTTATAGCTTTATCATACATCAGCTGTCTTGTAACTGTATCCATTTTTGTGTAGGCTTTGATAGTTGGCAGAGTGTGTATAGCAGCAGTAGTGAGTGGTGTATCCAGCATGCAGCAGAACAGGCCTTTTAAAGCAATGCACATTACAAAGAAATCAATATTTGACGCATGGACTCATTAGACTGAGCAGCCAGCCGCTGACATGCTGTGTGTTTGTAATGTATGTGTGTGTGTGTGTCTGTGTGTGTGCCTGCATATAAATGTACACATGTGAGTGTTTGAGGGCCTGGTCTCATATTACTGTGTCAGCTACAGTAAATTGCATGCAGCTTTTCCTCCGTCAGAGCCATTCATCCAGATTTTTGCTGCCTGCATTCCTAGACAGCGTTACAATGGACAGTGAAAACTTGAGAAGCCACTCTTCCTTTTACGTGCTCGATGAAGTTATGTCTCTGGCCTTTCATTACATAGCCGACATCCTCTGAGGGGAACAGAGGGCCGAGTAGGATGTGGGGAGCAGAGGAAGGCAGAGGAAAGGGGAGAGAAAAGGAGAAACAGAGGGGGCTGAAGCGAAAAGGTAAAGAGCCTGCTGTTCCTTTGTCCCGCACCTGTTGCTAGGCCTCTCCTGCCCCCCACCATCCAGCCCCGCTCACTGGGGGGGAAAATTGAGGAAGAAGTACAAAGGCTCTGTGTGTGCGTGCATGCGTTTGTCTGCTTGTGTGCGCTTACATGTGCTTACGTGTATTTTTTGTGCTCATTTACATGTCAGCGAAGACGGACGCGGCTTTGAAATATTTCCAAAATCTCTGCTGCACGTGAATTATTTTGTTGCATCGATCTGAGTGTCTTACAGTTTATCATGAAACCATTCTACACCTATGCTGTTACAAATTAGACTGTGTGACTAGGAGGAAGTAGGTCATAAGTGAAGTTTAGTAGCATCAACTTGAAAAACCTCTAAAGTAACAGTAACTCTTTTGAAAACAAATGCACAACTAGCCACAAACTCTTCAATGTCAGCTTTTTTTCCACAAACATCTGGTCAACAGTTTTGCTGTACAAAGCAGCAGAGCAAGCTGTGTTCTGTTTGAAAGCCCCATCTGTCGTCTTGACAAGCAAAACTTCCTAATCTTTTACAGTATATGCGGCCAGACTCAAATTAAGGAGCGTTTTATCTTTCCCGCACCGCAATCACAATGGTTCACTTTAATGGCTGAATAACATGAACGTATGAGACTGCCCTGCTAACACTAGTGCAACAGATGGAACCAGACCTCACGAGACTTTCCACATGTATCTGCATTGTTTTAAACAGCAGACTTTGTGTGAAAGTCTACAGGGCAGCATAGCACCTGAAGACGAGGATGATAATAATAACTCATGTGTCTCTGTTTCTTCCTCTCCTATTCTCTCCATCTTTGCTGCGTCCACAGACCTGTTATATTTGTGAGGACCACGGGAGGGAGAGCAAGGCTGCCTGTGGAGCCTGCATGACCTGCAACAGACAGGGCTGCAGACAAGCTTTCCATGTCACCTGGTAAGAGTTAAGGTGTGTGTGTGTGTGTGTGTGTGTGTGTGTGTGTGTGTGTGTGTGTGTGTGGTTGCATGGAAATTGTGTGTTACAGCGTGATGGTCAAC